AAGAAAGATTAGGTAGATGAAGTTTATATGACAGAAAGAAATGATAAAAGTATTACCATGTCTTGCTGAACGGTCAAGAAATGCTTGTAGATTCCAAGTCCGTTACGATCAGAGTTGCGGGAGTTGGAAGCCGTAGTGCTCCTGCCCTGAGCCGTTACTTGTACAAGTGTATATATAATATATAGTAGTATTACACACTTTATCATCATTTTCACCAAATCCAAAATTTTACAAAAATGAGTTGACATTATTATAGTACGATTATTTATGCCAAAAGAATCAAATTTAATACATTCTAACATCTTAAACTTGTTGAAGATCGACGGAAAAAAAAAACTTGTTGAAGATCACAAATATTAGATTGTGACGGATTTGTAACGGTTTTGCGAGGAATCGTTACAAATCCATTGGAGTGTCAAATCTCGTATCCGATATTCTAAATCTGAAACTTCAAAAATATTTATTTATAATATAATGAATTTATGTCATATCTTCGCAAACTCAAGTCGTACAATTGTGTTCACTTTCGTAAACTGTAAAAATTTTACCCACTGAAACTCAATCTACCCGAACTTTTTCCATCATCCATGTACTACCCAAACTTACGAACGACATTTTTAAACTGCCTTAATTTTTTATTCATCCTATTTTATAATAATTATAAAAGATAAATCTTCTTCTTACTCATTAATTAATCCCTATATCTACATTATCCAAATTATGAAGTTAAGTTTCTTAAAATTCAATTATTATGTCGCTTTTGTTATTTTTTCTTGACGAAGTTACCTTCTTCAATCGATGGGTCTTGCTGGTCCATCCAAGTCTAGTTCAAAATTCTTCGTGGTCAAGTTTGATAATTTTATTATGTGGCTTCCAATGATATCAATAATATGTTGGATTCGACTTGAACGACGATGTTTCTTCTGCTAACTTTTTGTTCTCTCACTCAAATCTTAGAATTTGTCTTTTAATTTTGATCTAATAAATAACTATGTGATTGCTTTCATATATAATTATCCGGATCGCTTCAAGAAAGCAAATTGATTCACATTATTTAGTGGTGGAACGCTAGTTCTTTATTCAAGTCGGATAAATTGGTCAACCGGAAAGTAGATTCAGTAAAATTCATGACACTATTCACATTACAATTGTCATCTTTGGCGATTTTGATCTAAAGCTAAACCTAAATTCATGAAATGATCTTGCCACAAATTTGAACGTCATTGTTTATTAAATCTTTTGATATATGACTATATGAGTAAGATCGTATGTAACATAAATTTATGAAGCATATTTCTTATCTCATGGTACGGACTAGCTTAAAAAGATCATAGAAAAATGAGGAAGAAGATGAAGCAACTGTTGTGCTTGTTTTGTTACAGACACCCGAGAACATATATAGTCTGCTCTCGAATATGAAGTCTAGGCCTTTTAGCTGACGCATCAGCTTGTTATTAGGGGGTGTACATTCCACTATTCAGTTAGGTTTGGGCTAAGGTATTGTAGATTTAATGTTTTTAGAATTCGAGTTTCCTTTTTCGTATTTTGAAAAATAAATCCCGAATAAAACCAAAATTTTAGTTCAGTTTAGCTTGGAATTCAATACAGTTTTGGAAAAAAA